AAAAAAAAAAAAAAAAAAAAAAAGACAAAAATAACCAGATTATCATCCATGTTCCAAAGAAAATTCATGAAATTTGTGATTAACTAAACAAAACACTGAATCAACTAAATCCCAAGTTTTCATAATGCCCAAATCTGTCCTAACTGTGGATTTGCACGTGCTGGAGGAAGAAAAGGGATGAACATCAGGAAAGCTCTGCAGGCAGCACATCTCAGTCAGGAATAATCTTGGTCCAGTTGCTGTATTTTGGTTCAGGGGGGAACAGACAATCTCCCCCATCCCTGTTTCCAGAAAGATTTTTTTTTGGGTGCCAAGGCTGTTTTTAATTCCAAGGACTTTTCAAGCTATGTGTCCATTAGAAATGGGATTTTACACGTACTGTGATTATTACAGATAAGGTTCTCAGAACAAAACTCCAGCCAAAGGTTCTCTATCTTCAAATCTACAATTTTACCCTGAAATTTTGCAATCATGCAGTCTGGCCTAATTTCACTAAGCAGACATGAAGGAATTTAATATACCTGACTTCTGAAGTCACTTAAATACCACATGAATTCATGGTACATTTTTGAATATATATAAATGACTTACTCGGGTTAGTCACAGGGTGTTCCATGAACAATTTTGTGATATATCCCATGTATTTCTTTTCCAGAACATGTCTGAAAATGATATTCAGAAATTTCCAAAACTCAGAGTGCCGTAAGTAAAGTCAAACTACTTTAATATTTAAAAATATTTTAGCTGTTTTGCAGTGAAATCTCATAGGAAATATCAGGCAAATGATTTACAAGTGATTGGTCAGAGATCTGTTTATTGGAGCATACTGACAGAAAAAGAAGAATATTCCAAAATRATGTTGTTGTCATGACTGCTCAAGCAAAATGATACAATACAAGAAGAATATCTGGGGGATGTTCAAAAGAATTCATGCATAAATTCTTTGACTGACAGCAGCCACACAAAGGTTAAACTTTCTTGCAAGTATTACCTTTGAAGTGTGACTTAACTGTTCACTGCTTAACAGTTGATTTTAACTTAAAGGAAAAAAAAAAAAGTCAGTTATGTCCACAGCAGCTAGGATTTGAAATTATTTTCATATGTTTTTGCTTTAGGTGGGTGTTCAAGATAAATCAGTCTGGAACTTGTGATTCAGTGTTCAATAGCTTTCCTCAGCTCMTGTGGATTAGGCCTTGAAAAAGTTWCCAATTCRCCTGAATAGATTCCATAATTTCATGGAGGTTACTAAATGAGGAGCATTAATCTCCTTAAGTCAATACTGAGTAAGAGAAATGGGCTTCTTCTAATATTTTATGGTGAAAAAATGAATGATTTGATTTTGCTATGAGCTCTGTGCTATGTATTTAAGCTGGAGGTTCAAAGGTTGCTAACCATGAGACACATGGAGCTCTTCAAGGTCTTCTAAACAAAGGAGGGGAGGAAAAAAGGGAATTCAAGAAGTTCCATCAGAGCTGTTTCTTTGTTGCTCATTTCCCAGTTCCAGACTCACTCCCTCCACGCAAATCTTGATTTTGCTACAGAAGATACAGTTTGCTTTGCCTTTTTTGATGCATCAGAGCCAGTGTCAGGTGTGTTTTGGGGAAGCAAAGAATATTGAAAAGTTTTGTGCTAATGGCTGAGCTGGTGAGAAGAGCTGAGCCCAGCAGGACACCCGTGCTCAGATCAGATATGAAGGACCGGAATTGGAAAACCTTGGGTGTGACATATTCCCTAAAATCACATCTGCATTTTCACACAAAAAAAATCCCAATAATAGGGGTTGGTGGTGTACAATATGTTAGTAATGAAGTCCAGATATTATTTCAAAAAGATGCTCTGGTGTCTCAGAATTTATGAAGTCACTGACAATTAAAAGAAATATTTAATTGACAATGTATCAGCAAATATTTATTTTCTGATACTCAGACCAGACTGTCTGTGACAGCCTCATCTTACAATACTGTAGAATTTATAATTCTCTGATAATTTGTCCTGCCTTAACAGTTCTTTAGAAAAATTCTCTTTCGTGTTCTAATTGTGTGAGCTTATAATTTTGAGAACTTTTGGTGATTTCCTTTCAAATTTGTGAGAAGAAAGTTTCACAATAAACACAGACAAACCAGAGACATTAATGCTCTAGATGAACAGTTAAAACAAAACCTAAGCATGTGGAGTTGCTCCTATCTCCTCATCCAAACTTATTGATGCCTCAAAATTTGATTTTCACAGTCCACTGACCTTGTGACACCCTAGAAAAAGTGAACAGCCTTTTTTTAGCCTCCTCTTTTGGGTTTCTCACTTGTCACACCCCAGCACAAACAGAACAGCCTTTTCCACTCAGATCTTTTGGGTTTCTCGATTAGAAAAGAATTTGAAATTGAGAGCTTTAAATGAAGCTTGGTGCACAACTTGATGAACTAAATAAATTGGTAGATATTTAAATCTGAATGAAAGTTCTGGAACTAAGGCCTCAGTTCCCAGACTTTTCCACACTTACAAACAAGCAAAATATTCACTGGATTATGGTGATTTTACAAGCAGAAGGGTCCTCCATGTAATGCCACTGTTTAAAACATTTTAAAACATTCTTGTTCAAAACAAGAATTTAGAACCTTTATATGGAAGAGAACTGGTTCCCACTAAAAATCAACCAACCAACCAAAAAACCACTTCCAGAAACAACAACAAAAAACCAAAAATCCACCAAACCCCAAAACAGCCCTTCTGGATAGAATTAATGGGTAGAAGAAACTGCTGGGTTTTTTGAACGTTAATTTCATTTCTTCAGAATCTTCACACTCTCGTCGAAACATAAAGTGCTGTTGACTTCTACCAGAGCACGTTTACACTTTTGGTTTATATCCTAACGCTGGTAGGAAGAGTTTGTCTACAAGCTGAAAGACACATTAGCACATTGTAGTTATACCGCCTGATACTCTGTCTCAGCACTAAAATCTGGGCGTATTTGAATATAAACAGTATCAGCCAGGGATGAAATGAATAAAAGCTACATGTACACAAGACATTGTTCACCAGTTACTTTAGCAGGAATATTGTGACCCACGTGGACCCAGCACGTGGAATCACACAAGGTTTGCAAACCACAGCCTGCATGTGAACATGCCTCCTGAGCTGGCTGTGTGGGTTTGCTAAATTTATTCCTCTGAGCCAAACTACTGCTCAGGTTTTGAATGGAACTGTGCCATTATTTGGGGATGATTGTGTGACTTTTCAAGGGTCAAAGTAGGTCACAGTTGTCATTACAAGGTATGACAGGTCATTTCCTGAATCTATTTATAAAACTCCACAACCTTCCTCTATTACTAATAGAATTATTATTTTGAATATTGATTCCCCCAGCCCTATTACAGGTGCAACTCTTCATAGAACTTGTGGCTTCTTTTTAAAAACAACAACAACAACAACAAGATTTAAACACTATTTCAAAAATTAAAATACTTCTTAAAATCTTTAGCATTCTTCATTGAAAGAGCTCAACTATTTCTGGAAAACTTTGCTGAAAAGTTAATATTAATACCACTGTGTTTAGATGTACACCTGAATCCTCACAAACAAAACACTGTGTCCTGAAAGAGATACACTGGTGAAACTGGGAAGGGACTTGGTCTGTTTTATACAAAGCACACACTGACCATATGTGCTAAGTGTTAAATGAAACTCAGACCTAATCATGAGGGTGTTACTAACATTTTTGAGATAAATCTAATGAAACAAGAAGCCAACATACAGCTTAAGAGACAGAGTTTTCCAATTGGTCATTAGCACTACTGGCAGTCAAAGATGATCATAAGGTTTTATACTTGTAGAGAACAAAGTTGAGTCTTGCAAAATATTTTAAAGCACATTCAACAGCATTTGCCTTACTATGGTCAGAATTAATAAAGAAAAAGCAAAGATTTCATTTAAAATAATGCTGGTGGTTGGTTGGTACCTGAACCATGGTATTAACACTGAAATAAGTCTTTGTCATTCCTATTGTGTGACAAATATTACCTTGACAGAAAAGGTTTCCAAGTTTTCAGTAGGCTGTTGATCCTTCTGGCTATTCCAGTGGCAGGTTCCTGGCAAAGCTGAGATTTGAAATTTGCAGCCTTTTTCAGAAAGCTTTGGGCTTATCCCTGAGCACTCCAAAGTGCATCCCATAGCACTGGTGGAAATTTCCAGTCATAGAAAGCTGATCATTGCACTCACTGCATGTGCCAGCTCAGTAAATGACACAGCCTGAGCCTGCAAACTGCACACTCTGAAAGTTGTTCTACTTTCAGAACAGTAAAAGTGGAAACCTAAAATTTGAGAAATCTGTGCTTTCTCTGTTGAGAAGGTAAGCCTTGGGCAGATGTCAGTGTGTGTGCACACATCCTCTCAGTGGGATCGAAAGATTGTTGCAAGACCTGGAACTTAACTGTATTTCAGTCAGTTTTGAAGTCAATAAAACAACATTGCATCTGCCCAGCAGATTCTTCTCAAAGGCCAAACCAAAGAGTTTGATCACCAATGCTTCTGACAGTGCTCAATATGCAACTGTGCAGCTCCTGGCCCTAGAGGAATTTGTATTCCACCTCCCTTACCCATTTAAACCCTTGATCCCAAAACATGTAGAGTGGATTCTGCTCATGTCAACAGTATCTGCAGTTAAGAGAACAAAAGCCAGTTTTGGAGTCCTGCTTTGAGGGCTGGATGTGTGGGTTTTTAAAAATTTCAACTTCCTGCCAGTTTTAAGTTTAGCAACTGGTGGAGGAGGTAGAAAGAGAAAGAGAAGTCTGAGTAAGTTTTTCTGCAAGTGCTGTTGCCTTATCCTCTCCTATCATCCACTCCCACAGCTCAGAGAGCTGTGTGGTTTTGGCACTTCCTTCCTCACATGGTGACGGGCTCAGCTGCTCAGAGCACCAACCTTCCCTAAGAACTCTGCTTGTAAAGCGTGACCCTCCTAAAATTTGCTTTCTTCTAATAAACCCTCTGAGCCATTGGTTTGAAGGATTTAAAATAAACCAGGAGTAAAGATTAGATACTGTATTTGAAGTATCAAATGATTAATTTTCTGGCAGCAGGATAAGATGGTTCAACTTTTTCCTGTCAGTTTTTCCTCAAAAACCAGCTGGTGTAAATCCTCATAGCAGCCAGCCCAGGTTTAGTCCAAAAAGCTTCCAAACACTCAGGTTTCATTCATACCCAGGGCAGTCTGAAATTAAAAAAAAAATTAAAAATTATTAGCTCCAAACCCAGTGAACGTCATTTTACTTCTTCAGCTGAAAAAACTCCAAGATATTCTGGAAGATTCTCTACCTCTTCTACAACAGGGAATAAACCACAAATTTCATAATCCACTTCTTGACCAAAGCATTGATGTGTGCAGGGCACTGCTTACCCCAGGTCCTTCCCTGATGTCTCACATGGAATTTATTCACACAGCAAGTTCCTTATCGCCTGCAGCAAAAGGAAATTTCTTGACAGAACAGGGTTTGTTCTTTGGGAAATAAGAGCAAGAGGACTCCTCTGCCTGTAACTTGGCACTTCTCTTGCTTTATCCAACTTCCTTGGGGACAATGTCAGATTCAGACAGCTGTGATCCTTCTGAAATTGTTAACACTTGTGCATGTGCTCATTTCAAAAAGGGGCAAGCGTGACAATACTGGCCTCGAACCACAAAATGGCAAAATACCACCTTAAACAAGAAAATCTAACCAATATTCTTTCTCTGTATTTCTTTTTTTTTTCATACATAGATCCTGGGTGCATATCCTTAACTTCACCCCACTCATCTTCATCCTTTTCAGACAGCACTATCACTCTGATCTGAAATCACTTGGTTTTGTTGGCTTGTTTTTAGTATCAGATTGCTGGAAAACCTGTCTTCCTCCAGTGCCAGCTCAGACGAGCAGTTAGACATGAAAGATGATTAACTAAGTCATTTGGAAAAAACTAGGGGATTGTTATTGCTGAGTAGCAGAAAAAGACATGAAAGGAGAAGAAAAATAAAACAGAGTAGTGACTGCATGGCATTAAGCAAATAATCTTACAATATTGATTGACTCAATCTGTGTGGGGAAGAATTCTACATTCACAAATAATCAAGTTTAGATTTTACAGAATTTAGAATATGAGAAAAACAGATACATTAAGTTCCTGATTTTTCTTTTTCCACAATTACTGTCTCTKATAGATGTMAATAATATAAKCTGGAAGTAAAATGGAATATTTTTAACTGGGTATATGCAAACAATTTGCTCTGTTTGCCACAGGACTTTCTCAGTTGGATGTTCCTCAGTAAGAAATAATGACAATTTAGAATCAGACCATGGCTCAACATAAGTTTTCTTTGAAGCAAAATAATCATGGATGCAAACTTAATTAGTAGCAGAGCAGAATTGTGGTCTCTCAGTAAAATGAACCCTGTGAATCTCAGTACTGACTGCCATCCACTTGGAAAAATCTGTTCAGGCATAAAATGACAGCCTTTATATTCCATGAATATTTCTGCCATGCCCTGCAAACATCTTAAGACATGGAACAAGATCAGCCTTCCCCTTCCCTCTGGTGGAGGGATTTGGGATGAGGTGTGGCTTGGTTGCAGAAGAAGGAACACAAAAAAAACCAGAGAAGAGACTTAGGAAACATTTAATCCCTGCTTTTGCAACCATTGACTCTGTTTCCTGAAGAATTATTTGCTTTTTCCATGCAAAACACCAAAGCCTTATTTGAAGCAGCGTGATGTCTACAACACCCAAAGATTCTAAGGCTGGATTTAATGTTTACTTTTAAACRTGATYCAACAGCACMGRGTTTTACCTWGGTAAAAAARGTCTAGTTTGGAATTGGATGTGCTRTAGTGCAACTCAGMACTAAGATGGTAAATTCAGTGTTCTTATCMCATAGTAAATAATAATCTTGAGTTACCAGATTAAATTTAGCAAATAATGAGGGATAACAGCTAAGAAAATGACTTAGCTGCTTTGATAAAAAATTCAAGGGTTTTTTTTAACTATTTTTGTTTTTCTTTTCAATAGAATTGTGAGTAAATTAAGCCAAGAAATAAGCAAAAATGAAGGGAGACTCTCTTTCCTTCCAAGATGGTGAGTAAAACAATTCAGCTTTCTTTTTCAAAGCTTCCAGATACATCTTTTCTGGCCTGTTTTTCATTTCACCATAATGCCTGGATCAGAAGTACAGCCTGGAAAGTGTATAAAACAGTTCTGTTTCATTAATGTCATCTGATAAGAATAGCAAAGCCTGAGCCCATGAACACCCCAGATACCTCTGCCATGTCCAGAACCAAGTAACATTTGCACTTTTCATGCAATTTTCCACCTGAGCACATCAGTTTAAGGAAGGCTATGAAGCCAATGAAGCCTAGGCATACATTATTTATAAATCATCATTAATGCATTCCACAGATTGATACATTATTAGACTTTTTAATTCTTAATGATTTGACATTGAATATAATATTTGCAATAGAAAAACAGCAAAAATTGCAAGAGCATTATATGAGAAAAGAACAATTTATCTTCCTACACAATGAGAACTGAGTCCAGTCTACATAACATCATTTTGTATCATCTGAGAACATGATTTTACACCTTTCCATTAATAAGAATCCAAAACTGGAATTGAAAACCATAAAAATATTTTTAACCTTTCAAATATTTATGAATTTGACTTTGAACAACAGCTTGATCTGAATTAGCAAAAAAAGTTTCTGTTTTCAGGACTGGTAAATATATTTGCAGAATCCCCTTGGTTCAAAGCATTTGACTTCTCTGACTTAATTTCTTTTTGAAAAAGTTTAGATTTTGTTAGAATCCTCTATGTGAAATATCAACTAATATGTTTTTGGCATTTTGAGCAGAGATAAACACATCTGGGTAAACTTCATTCTACTGTAACAGTTAATTATTGCCTTCATTTGCAATAGAAGCAGTAAACATTTAACAGACGTAATTTATTTTTTGTATCTTTATTTCAGGGCCCAACCACAAAAATCTCATGAAAACCCAGGTAAGCATATACTGGCAGATAGACTCTCTACAATAAAATGTGGTTAAAAATATTAAAATGTTAAATTAATACTTGCAGGGCAGAGTCAGCTGATGGGAGTGGGGTTAGGAACCAAAAATCCAAAACAATAAATGAAAATATGAGAGTATAAAGAAGTTTCAAAACCAAAAAGAGTAGATGCAGAACAATAAATAAGAAAAAGTGCTTTAAACGAGAAAAGATGGTGAAGGAAGGCAAGAGCAGAGACTTTTACATGAGAATTCCCAAAATGTCTTTCTTTAACCCAATACATTCTATCAGTGCCTATATATTTCTGTTCCAACATCTCTGCCCCCTGCCCTTCCTCCTAGCAGCACTGTATTAGAGAGGGAAGCTGAAATKAAAAAAAAAMCCCAAAACTTCTGTTATTAAGCTAAAATAGTYTTAAAGRSRTAAGAAGYCWGRGCTGATTCTGAAAACATTTTGTTTCAAATTATRTTTRAAACTGGAAGTGGGACAAACTTGAAGTGCCAGCACCCAGATCATGTCGTACCAGGGCAGCTTTATCTCAGGTTTGCATCAGGATGTTATTCACAGTGCCCTCCGTGGCTGCCAGCCTGCCTCTGAAAGAACAGCCTGTTCCCCTGGCACAGGATTGAGGGGCACGACTCACCTGGCATTTGTTGGGTTCTTTGTGTTGTGTTATTACATCTTTGGCAGAGCTGTCTCAGCAATGTGTGGTTGTGCTTCTTCACACAGGGTATGCTCAGGATGACGGTGGCTGGTCTTCATTTGTGAGTATTTGTGTTAAGAGAACCCCCCAGCTCAGGGCATTCCTGCTCCCTGCACTGGCTGAATGTGGAGAGGGCGCTGGGGGAGGAAGAGCAGGAATGCCTGCAGTGGCTGCACACCAATTTCCTCACTGAGAATGGGTTCTCCCCCAGAAATGCAAGGCAGAGCTGCAGAATGGCCTTCCCATGGCTCAAGCAGAAGCTCCCAGCCTATGACCAGGTCCCCACACAACCACAGGTGGATTTTATAGGCCTAGTTCAAATTCTTAAAAGAGGTGTCTAGCAGATGAAAGGTCGCTCTGTTATTCAATGGCAGATTCTTGCCATTTTATTCTCTAGAGCTGATTTATTGAACAGTATTTTTTTTTAAAAGCTGTTTAAAGTGCAGAACTTCCTTTTGCCTTTTGGCATAGCAAATGCCTTGGTAAAGGTCAGTAGGTGAAGCACACACACCTCAGCTGCCAACACACAGCCTGGGTTTAGGAAGATCTCAAGGCTGACCACTGCTAATGGATTTTATCCAAAAGTGAAAAGGAGAGGCATTTTTGAAGACACTTGTTACTAAGTTCACAGGAGATTTGCTGCTATTCTGGGAACGCAAGAGATCAAAGTAACCACCTACAGAGCACGTGGGCTCTGTGCCAGCACAGAGGACTCTGGAAATTCCAGCTGTGACACCTGTGACACCTGTGACAAGTGGAGTGTTCTTTTTGTCTCAAGCCTTGGCAGATTGCACAGATGTGCAATGACCACATTGACACTGTGACCTTATGAGATCTTACAAGTCCTGTGAGGCTGGTTTGGGCGAGGAGGACACAAAGATCTGAATCAAAGACCTCAGTTTTTATGAATAATTTTTAAAATTTGGGTWGCAGGCTATGGTGGACATGTTAGAAAGCAAGAATGAATACCAGCAGCATCAACTGCTACTCCAGTGTGTTTCTAGGAGCACTGGATTGTTTGCTGATGCCTTGTCTGGTCCTAAAACACTTCATGCATTTCAGTAAATTTTCACCTTATCATGACCTCCCACTGCACTTACTGTCATAAATKGATACTTATTTCCTTTCTTAAGCTGTTGAGTTCTCCATGCATTAGCACAATGTTGCCTCCTTCCCCCATATTATTTCAGCCAACTCTTTTCACTCAAAGCAGTTGTGAAAACATGGTATCTTCCAGAGTGAAAAATACCCCAGTGAAAGGCCACAAGAAAACTGCTCTGGAGGGTTTGGTGTTCTGTTCCAGCACCCACTTTTATGCTCCTTTACCAGGATGATGATGATGATGATGATGATGACTATGAAAGCCCTGATGAAGACCAGGAAAAGGAAGATGAGGCTGACTATGAATCACCAACAGAGGACCCCGAGGAAGGAGAACACGACAGTGATGGTTATGAACCACCTCCCTCCAATAATGATGAAGCACATCACAGTGTCATATTTCCTGCCAAGTCACTTCCCAGCAGCACAGATTATATAGGTAATTACTAAAAATTAGAGTGCTATTAATAATTTGTAAATTATATTTTCACGTTATCAGTCACATTTTAAGTGGCTGGTAATGGAATATAAAGGGTTTTTCCTTGAAGCTAACAGTGCAGTTCATGAGCAAGATTTACTGACACAGACTTGGTTTGTGACTTTTAAAGTTAAATTTTCTACTTTGGACAAGCTCTGTTGGAATAAAGGTTAGTTTTGTGTGATTTTTTGGCCTTTGATTTGAACCTGTATGAAGTTACACACATGTGCATGCTGTAGAAGCTTTAGCAGTGGAACCTTGGACAGAGCAAGTTGTCACAAAAGTGGCAAAAAACCAGTGAAAATTGGGAAAAGAATGATCAGCTTTCTCTGCCTGTCYTTTTTGTTTTACATCTGACTCCTTGGCAGCCTGGAGCTGTGGAGCCCAATACAGGAGCAGAGATCTGCCATTCAGAATGGCTGGTGTTTCACACACTGTGCTGCAGGGAATGAAAATAAATATTGTGGGTCAACAGWCTGGCAGGGGAGTCACCCCACAGGGACAGACAAGCCTGGAACTCCCAACACAACTCCCTGATCCTAAAGAAACTGCCAGTCATATCCTACAGCAATGTCTTTGTGATATATTAACTTCTTGCAAGGGCTCTTTGTCATAAAGATCTAATGAGTATTAAATAACCAAACTCTGTAGAGTTGCTTAGTTTGGGATTTTTGTTTTCTTTAGACAGACCTTCAACARCCAGATCACCCCTTCAGCCTCCAGTACCACCTCAGCGACCTGGCCCATCCCCAGGACCAGCCCCATTTGGGGGAAAAAGTGCTACGGTATGTTCCTTTCTTAACATCTCACTATTTCCTATACCACTGCCTTGAAGTCCAAGTGTACTGCTATTTKTATTCACCTAGTGTACACAGAGGGAGAATTTCAGCCATCAAAGTAGATTTGAACTCTTACACAGTGGCCATTGTTCAAGGAACAACTAAATTTCATGGGAGAAATACATTATTTCATATAACTTCAATGCTTTTTACACTGGAAATTGAAATTCACACCTACTTGTAAATGCCTCTCCCACATAAATTATATAAGACATATCTCTCTGTTTCTTTAGTGGTACTTTTAAAATGAAAAAAAAGTTAAGTCTTTCCAATCAGTTGTCCGATTGAATCAGGACCACATAAAAGTGTGAAAGACTGTATAATCAGAACATTGATGACCAAGATTTGTTTCCTTTTTTTTTTTTTTTTTTTTTTTTTTTTTTTTTTTTTTTTAATTTTTTTTTTTTTTTTTTTTTTTTTTTTTTTTTTTTTTTTTTTTTTTCTGCTGTGAATACTTCAAAACTGAAAGCTCTTGTGCTGTTTGCAGCTGGTACTACAGTTTCAATATTTGCCAGAACAAATGTATACAAAACCTACTGATGTACACCCAAGTAAAAGTTTAGGATGTGACAGACAGACTTTTGGTCTGTTGCTGTGTCAGAGAGATACAACAGCGTTGTTAAAGCTCCTGTTTCTCTCCTTTGAAAACACACACTCCCTCCCTGAAGATACCTCCCACTGTAGTATTCCTTGTGAGGCAAAACAGTTGGAGGCAATTCTGCATCCAAGCAAAAGCAGTGCATGCAGGTCATGCTTCAGGAGAATGCAAAGCTCCTGTCCTTCCTGCAGCGAGCAGAGACTTGGTCCTTGTGCTGTAGATGTGCGTGGTGGGKTTAATGCACTCAAACTAAAACGGAAAGGTGAAGACACATTCTAACCACTTGTTAAATATTTGTTCTAGCTGCCAGCTTACCTTCCTCCACCAAGCAACAAYGACTTGAGTAGAGACAGAAATATGAAGCATTTGAAACGTGAGTACAGCTGGTGTTCTCTTTGTAAAGCTTTTCCCACTGACTATGTAGTACTTCACTTCTTCCTCTTTCCTCAGTTCCACTCTATTCTACTACTCCACAGGAGTCTCACTTGTTATTTTAAGATGTAACACCTTTTTAATTTATGCAAAATAAAGATATATTAACCTACACCAACAAATTTTCTTACATAGTTGTTGTGTTTAGCCCCAGCTCCTTCTATAGACAGAAGCACGAAGCCCTCCCTGGACCGCTTTGCTCCCCCATATGAAAGAGAAATCCCAGGATCAGGTCAGTATTTGCTGACACTAATATCATTGGGGTTGTTTTAATTACTGAAGATCATCAGTTTGTATATAATTAATGCAAAAGAACAAGGCACAACCAAATGTAAACAAGGTAATCTGATTATGAATAAATAGTGTGAGCAGTACTTATAAAGTAGGAGAGAAATTTTATCTAGCAAACAGCAACCCTGGGTCAGGCAGATGAACAGAAAGCCATTATGAGATCCCCGTGCAATAAAGGTTTGATGTAGCACTGAAGGGGTTCAACAAGAAAATATTTAGTAGGTTAAGGGAGGAAATCACCTTTGCATGCAAAGATARCAAAACTCTGCATACACTGCTGTATGCAATGTGGCAACAGACTTAAAAGAAGACTGAGAACTAATAAGACACAAAATAATGGCAGTTCTTCCAGACCAGAAAACCACATTACACAAAGCATCTACAGAYATKARTATACAASTTTATTTATTATCTAAACTCTTATCTATTATATAATGGTAAAAATTCTCCAGTAGTTCAAAGCTGAACCATAGAAMGTATGATTGTGACACATACCATGTTGAAAATGTTTAAATTTGCCTTTAATAAGAGCTATTGTAATTTTGCCATCTCTTACAAAGCCAAACTATTTTTCTGGCTTACATCTCAGGAGGCTACGTGCTTCAATCTGCAAGATTAACTTTCATTTATAYTCAAAACTCATTTATTTCATAGAAAGCTTAATTACTCACTTCYATTTTTTCTAAACGCAAGCTTTTGMTGTTTTCAGGGAAGAAGCCAGGCATTCCTGAAAAGGTAAATTTTTTTTTGGTGACTATTGATAGTTTTTGCCTATTTTCATACACTTACACATTCTTTTAACTATTCCTTGTTGTTTTACAGCCTCTGGTTTCCCAGCTAAGGTAAGAGTTTGTCCTCTGCAAATGATCCTCTCATTGTCAGTACTACCCAGTTATTTCTTAACCAGCAGCTTTTTGCCTTTATTTCATCATCTTRCTCCTGCTTTAGATCCCTGGGGGAACAGTTAGCGATGATGCCAAAACCTCCTGTTCCACCAAGTGACAGATACGAAAGAGGCAATCCACATCCTCTAAGGAAGCAAAGCCCTGGAAAGTAAGTGCTCATTTAATTGAAATTCAATAAAGCAGAAATGAAATTTAACAAAAATATGGGCAAGCAACACAGGATGGTTTAATTGACTGGTAGTTCATGACAGCAGGGTCTGTGGATATCAAGTTTTGGTTTATCAATATGCACAGGATGTGCTGTAAGCTGCAGRAAGGTGTGAATGCAGAAAAAACTCTCTCCAGTCATGTCTGACAGAGCCATTATGTGGGGCATGAGTGACTTCCAAGTYGTGCAAAAATATACATGATCCAGGYTTTTTCCACCAGATCAAGTCCYTGCTCTAGGGAACACTCTTACAAGAGTTCCATTGTTACTGTTTTATGATGTTAGAAAAGGAATGCTTCATTTTTTCCCCATTGATTTTATTAGCCCTCAAAGCTCCTTAAAAGCCAACAGCATCTTCTAGCAGAACTAGATCATTCTCCAGAATTTTCTAGACAACCTGGGGGCTGAACACTGACTGAACTTAAMACAAGATAAGAAATAATTGAGATCTGCTAATCAGCCAGCATAATTTATCAGGGAAACAAAGCCTGATGTGCTTATGATGTGCTCCAGSAGTGTTGCCAAATATTATAAATGAGTTCAAGACTTGAAAACTAATRTTTCATCATTGTACAAGCTTGTTTTAAGCTCTAATCTTAGAATCAATTAATCRGACATTTTCCTTGTTGATAGGATCAAAATGGGCTAAGGACTAGAATAATGTCTTAGATTATGGGTGAAAATTAGAATCTTAGCTATTTTTATGAGGAAAAAAGATGTTTCGGCATCCATTGGTCTTTAAAAGTTACTATAAATTCATGTTCTGGTAGAAAARTATGGCCTAATGCACATGAAGTCAGTGAGTAGTATTCCACCTATGATGAGTGTTTTGTTTTCATTTCAGGCAGAGTTGGCCACCACACAAGAAAAATGAAGTAAGTATAGTTTTTTTTTTTTTAAAGTACAGGGGCTACAGTACAATTAAGTACCTGTACAAACTAATAATTCTGGAAAAGGTAAATTAGTTTCTTTTATAAATTTTAAGGAATACTCATGGATCTTTCAGAGCATATGGGATGTTTTTAAACAGTTCTTTTATGTCAAGTTCAGTTTACTCCCTGMGAATTTTATCTTGGATAACAGCAAGAATAAGGCCAGAATTTCTTCTATGAGATGGGAGAAGTATTTTGTTTAAAGAAGATTTGGGGTTCTGGGGATTTTTTTAGCTTAAGATGACCTAAAAGTTTCACTTTCAGATAATTCTGATAGCTTACACTTACTTGAAGGACTAAGGAAAGTTTATATCTCCTGAGAGTTTCTGAATATTTTAGGTCAAGATCTCTTACGGGACATCCACCATACATCTTGCTTGTAAATAACAGCTGTATTTTAATGCAAAAAACTTTTAAAATTATTTGATGTTGCATGAAGACAAACCCCCAATATTTTAGAGGGAAGTGACAGTGTAGATATTTGAGTCCTTGTGTAGATTAAATTAGAGTCCTTGTATACTCAAAATTCACTAATGTCCAAATTTTGTTTTGTAAAACATTCCTAAGAACTGTGCTATAATATATTACTAATGTTTTGTGGTTTATTTTTTTTTTTTTTGCTCCCCAGGACGAAGAAGACAGTAAGTATTTCTACAGTGATTTTTCAAGCTTAAAATTTTTCTTTATGTTAGTTCTAAAAGCAAGTAAAAAGGAAAGGTTTTCAGAGTGGTTTCCTTAGAGCCATTTCAAAAGTCAGGTGGCACCTTGATAAGCTGTAGAATTCTTACAAAGTGCCTCATGCAGATTTATTTATCAGACACAAACCCTGGGAAATCAATAGCTATTAGCTTCCTTCAGTCASCCAGTTACCAGCCAGCAGGATTTCTTATTTTGAAATACATTACATTAGAGAGATTTGTGTTCTGCACACAGCACCAAACAGCTGGAAACAGAACCTGGTGCCTCCCAGTTCTCAACAAACTGTTCAGTCAAACCCTGCTGGCACCAGGCTCTGTGCAATGTTATTCACTTCTAGGAACAGAAGCAGAACTTCTTTATTGTACCAACACTATTTATAAATTACTGCAGAATGCTGATTTCTGAAATTAAGTTGGTAAAGTGACTCCATAACAGAGGCAGGACATTTGGCCAARTCTCTATGAATTATCACTGCCTCTAAGCCTCCATAAAGAATAAGGTTATTTAAGCTGTGCAGAGCACAGTTAACCTGTCCCACTCCCACTGCTAATCCAGGTCTGAGAACACTGCAGAAAGAAAATATTTTATTTCATGCTGGGAGAAATTGCTGAATGATGTTCTAATAGGTGATCTCAAATMTGCTATTTAGAAGCAAACATGTACYACCTTCAGCTCTGCTGGAATGTACCTRAACTGTGGCTTATCCAAAACATAAKTTAGAAAATGTAAATGTTGCTYAAGTCTGTTCCAGTTTATTTKYAATTTTAGTACCTAYTTYTGAGTTCTCAGCTGACCATATGTGTTTACAATCTGTAGCTGGATCATCAAGGACTGTTTATAGGTTGTTTACTCCATTATGTTTATCTAATTAAAYARCAGTAAGGTGACAGAATTTCCTCATTCTACTTAATTTCAGAATGTCTCACATAAGATTTAAGTTTTCTTCTCTTTGTCTCCACAGCTGCACCCCACAGACCAGTRCCACAGCTGTCTTTGCCCCCATACAGCTCCAATGCATTCCCACCCAAATCTCTCAAGCCTCCTCCTAAGCCAGGATCCAACACTATTCCTGGTGCAGAAAGGTTTGTTTCACCATTATTGGTGCTCCTTTTGAGTATCAGTCTCTTGGAAATACAGCAAATGTCAGTGTGTGTGTAGTGCAGGGTTCTCAGACACACAAGGTAACCACCTGGAGTAGTTCATTACTCAAACTATGCCCTTGCCTCTGCAAAATGCTAATCAGTGTTGTTCCTGCTATCCAGCAGAATCCTTCACAGAATTGGAGCTCTGTATGAGAGGAACAGAGAGTGTACATCAGGCAACAAAGAAAAAAACACAAATTCTCCATTGTATGGCATGGAAGTATTTTAGAACCTACATGGTACAACAATTCCATTCTTGAGACACCTCTCCCATTGCCTGCTGGATCCTAAGAAGGACAAGCTCTTTTGGGATCATCTTCTCTACAAAACTAGGCAGGATGTAGGACAAAGGGGTCCTGCACACTCTAAGAGCCTAAGTGTTAGAGCTGCAACTACTCACACTTCAAAACTAAAAAACCTTACAACCTGTGTTGTCTGGAGTTGAATCTGAAAGAATTTCACCTCCCTTTTACTAGATTTTTCTCAAATGTTTGGCAATTCCTATTTAAATTGCTAACCTTGCTGCAGCTTTTTCCCAGCTTCAATTTACAAATATTTGAGTGTTATGCCCTTATTTTCTAGAAAGAAGAACCCCTAATTAAAGTTTGATTTCTGATACACCATGCAACAGACTTAGACTTTGATGAGTTAGAGTAGGCTCCTTGAACCCATGTGTGATGCCCATTTTCTAATCTATGTATTTTTAATGGCTCTTTGATGAATTCCTTGCATTTACCATCATTCTCTGGAACTGCTGACACCCAAGCAGAACAAATATTGCAATAGCAATAGCAAGGGCATATGCAAATTGAACTATTCCTATGATGAACACTTTTGCTTATGTTCAAAGAGTATTGCCAAATTTTGCTGTAGCAGAGGCCCCCAGTTTGGCTGATTTTCTCCCATGAATCAAGTCGTGATGGGGTGTTTTTGTTCTGCAAACAAAATTAGCATATTCATCTCAGAGCCTTTTCAACAGCTCATTTAAACAGAAGAGAAATATGAACAGTAAAGGAAAGGCCATTTGTTCTCAATTAGGTGAAGAAACAAACAATAATAACAAAAATAGCAGAGTGGGACTCCATTTTGAGCAGTTTTGGATGTGGGTTGAGGTTGGCAGGAAGCTCTGAATGTCTTCTGGTCCAACCTCCTACCCAAGCAAGGTCACCTTGAACAGGCTGCCTGGTACCACATCCAGATGGYATTTGAATGTCTCCAAGGAAAGAGAGAGACTCYACAACATTCTTGGCAAYCTGCTCCAGTGCTTGGTTGCYTTTGCAGTAAAAAAGTGTTTCCTGATGTTCAGGGGAACCTCTGAGTTTCAGTTTATTTGCAMTGCCTCAGGTCTTTTCCCTGGGCACCAGTGGAAAGAGCCTGGCTCTCTCTTGGGATATTCATGTGCTCTAATAAGGTCCTACCTGAGCCTTCTCAACTTCCCAACTCCCTCAGCCTTTCCTCAWGTGTGAGATGCCCCAGCCCCTCATGTTGCTGGCCCTTTCCAGCTTGCAACATTAATGCGAAGCTGCATTTTTATCAACAATGTTACAGAAGCTGCAGGAAAAGTAGAGTTCCGTAAGTGGACACCCGCAGCGAGCGAGGTCAGGGAGCCGTTGCTGTGCTTTGTGCCCTGGGGGAATGATGGAGGCATCCCTGGGGAACTCAGCAGGTTGAAGTACTTTGTAGCATTGATCCTGCTACAGAAGTCTCGGTGGTCTTCACTGATTACCTCATTCCCAAGTACTGAGCTCCAGGTAAACTTAAACGTGGATCTACTTACACAAAAAAGAAGGAAAGAAAAACAAAAGAGAAGACTTTCCTCACCCTGCACAGGTCTCAAGAGGTTCTCACATTCTGCAAAACAGGCACAAAGTCCAGATCAGGTGATGAGAGCACAGAAAGGTTATAGAGGATYGTTGTATTTATACTGACTACTTGTTTGTTTTTTTTTTTAAGTTCTAGAAACCTATCCTCAACTGGCTCACTGCCACCACGCTTACATCCAGGTACGAATCCGGCATTCTTTTTTTTTCTTTTTTAAATGAATGGATGTTGAAAGATTGTTTCAGTGCAGTCAATATAATAGTTTTTCTTTTCTATGAGTATTTCTGCTTGAAGTGTGAACAGAAAACTATCAAGTTCCTGAAAGGCATCTTGTCTACCTTACTTAGTCTGAATCAAAGATTTTGGGCTTTTTTTCCCCCATGAAGTTTGGGCTTCCTGCCTAGTTAAACTGGTGTCAAAACTTCATATAATAATTTTATTCTGTACTGTACTGAGAGCTGAGGAATGCAAATCACTGTGGTATGCTAATACTAAAAAAAAAAGGTTAGTAAATGCTTTTCATGTGAAATATGCTCCATAATTTTCTTGTAAGAAAAAAAAATAAAACTTGAACATCAAATGCTTTACAAGCAATTTTTTCGCATATGGTAACAGCTGTCAATGTCCTACAGTGACATTTTTTACTTTCTAATTGCTGAGAARGCAAGGATTGCAAAGCAACAGTATTACTTCTGTCTCTAAAGAAAACAAGATGCTCTCAAGTGAATGGCTGTGGTACAGAAATGGATAAAATGTCACCTCTATTTCAAGTTCATCTGCTCTCATGGAGATCTGAACTGCAAGAGCTCAGTTAAAGTACCTGTGCACCAAGGATGAAATGATGTAAAGAACCTGGTTCTCACAAAGAAGCCTAAATCTGTTTTGAAATCAATTCYAAATGTCTCAGTACCAGGGTGATACAAATACTTCATGCCTCATAAAATCAAGATCCTACACTCTGGATGCACAGATGAAATTATTTTCCTGKTTTTAACATTCTTTTTCTACTTTTGTATCTTTGAAGGCAGCAACAGCAGATCTCCTTCAAGAGGCCCAGCTGACATGAGACCTCCCTTGCCAATTCCTATCAGACAGACTGTCCACCAGACCAGCACAGGATCAACCACCAGATCTTCACAGGATGAAGATGAGGTACAAAACATGAACCATAACTATTGAAACCAGCAAATATTCTGGTTTTGAGAAACAACATCTTTCAAAGTTGTTTTTCTAGCCAGTAGTCACGGTCTGGATTACTGAGTGCTTTCATTTTCCTTTTCTGTGTCAAACTGTTGTGTCTTATTTTGTCCCCGCCAAGGAAAACAATAGCTAAACTCCAGCAGAACAAAATAAGAAAAATACTTTTTTTGCTGGATTACTTGTTTTGCACAACTGCCTTGAAGTAGCATTCGATTTTCTGTTCTCTTTCCACAGTACTTTGATACATAAAGGATTCATTCTTTTAAGTGCATTTTTGCTTCACATTTCTTTAAATATAACAACTTTAGAGCAAACCGCTTGTGGTGATAACACTGCTGGGCAGCCATACATAGTATATTCACAGGAAGTCTGCATTATTGCCTCAGATGATGGTTAAAAACAAACAGACAAACAAAGGCAAAGGATGCCTTTGTGCCTAGTGTACAGGTAGACAGAAGAGAACATGCCACTTACAATCTTCTACTGAAAATATTTGGAAATACCTGTTTTCTTAGCTTATTTGCAGGTGCATTATAGCTAGATCTGTAATGTTTTCAAATTTATCAAAGTGAGCAGATAATTTAAAACAACTTAGTRCCACCTTCCATGCCATAATACATACCAGTATGATCCCTGATGCTGATACCTCACAAGATCATGCACATAGACCCAAATGTCCCTCAAAATGAGATTTCTTTCTACTTATTGCCATTCCCTGACAGCTGAATTTGTCCTTCTCCTCTCCCCCACCCCCAGGGCTCACTGAAGGATGAGTGGTACGTGGCTTACATCAGCCGGCCCGAGGCAGAGGCAGCGCTCCGGAAAATAAACAAGGTACTCTGCTGCCTTCAAATATACAAAAGTAGGAGAAGAATGTTAAATCTGCAAAGGGCTGGTGTCTCC